ACGCGCACACGCGTGCGAACACGGCCCGCGGGACTGCGGCGGGCAATGCTGCAATGAGGCCTGCCCACGGCGCTCCTCACACTGTGCAGCACCTAAAAATACTCCCTTCCACGACAAACATAGCGATCTATGCTCCCTTACGTCCCCAAACGCGCCGTGGGGAAGGGGACAGCGGGCAGCGCAGCCACCCTCGCAGCACGATGCAGCACACGGTGCTGCCGGCGCTCGGCGCCAGCCCCAAGGACGTCGCTGCCTGCGCCCGGGGGGACGCCCGGCCACGCAGCCCTCCGGGTGACCACGTCCCCTGTCCCGCCTGGCACACGGATCTGCGCGCCCCGGGCTGCGCCAGCCGGCGCCAGGCTCTGCCGCCGTGTAAATGTGTAAATAAACTGTCCCCACGGAAAGGGAGACGTGCTCAGCCGAGAGGACAGCGCCGGGAGGCCCTGGGGAAGGTATTCGGGGTTTGCACCTCACCTGCTGCCCTAATGACCACAAGGGAAACAAAAATCAGTTAATTCCTGTCCAGCCCCATCTCCGCTCAGCTCCTCCTGGCCAAGGCAAGCTGCTTTCCTACAGGGTCTTCCAGCCCTCCTTCCAGCCCAGTTCTACACGATGGGCTGCAGCCGGAGTGCGCCCAGCAGCACGCGGCCGCGATGAGCCCCGTGCTGGCACGCAGGCCCGAGGGACACACCGGTCCCATCATGGAACAGGAGCTGCAGGAGGTCTCGCCTCCAAAACCTGCGCGGGGCGGCAGCAGAGATGGGGGAGCTCGCACTGGGAAGGCTCGATGGAAGCGGGCAGCCAGGGCTGGGAGGGAGCCAGGAGAACTCGGGGGGATTTTCTGGATTCACCCTGGGATCTCAAAGCTTTCTGCATGCCTGGAGTGATGCCAGCCCTGCTGTCCCCGCTGGTAGGAGGACAGGGAGCACAGCCAGCCCGTGCCTCCTTCCACCTGCCTGCTCGTGGTTGTGGATGCAGGGCACAGCATGAGCAGCCTGGCAAGGTCGCAGGTGCATGCACGGGGCCGGGCAGCCTCATAAATCCTCCTCCACACAGGCTGAGTCACCGCGGCCGCCCGGCCTCCTCGCGGCTCATGGCCAGGGCCAGCTGCAGCTGCAGCTCCTCCTCGCCCGTGGTCTGGGGTCTCGCTTGCTCCAGGTCGGACGCAAACCGCGGCGACGAGGACGAGGCTGGGAAGAAAGAAGGAGGAAAAGCTGAAGGCTGAAGTAGCAGCGCCTGGACTGGGTTATTTCGAGAAGCACCTCAGCTCCATCTGCCTTTCCAGACATCCTCCCACACCCTGGAACGCCACCCCCTGCCCAGCAGCTCCGGAGCGCGGCTTCCCAAGGGAAACACCCCAAGCTCAGAGCGTGCAATTAGCAACGAGCCCCTGGATTTGGGGTGGCTGCCATCGTGCCGGTTGGCGCGCAGCCCGAAAGGTGACACAGGCCGCGAGCGCCTCGCGAGCCTCCCCCGG